TCACGAACAATCTACCAGTGCAACAAACACACATACAAACTTACATTGAGTAAACAATAACAACAACACATACAAACTTACATTGAGCAAACAATAACAACAACACATACAAACTTACATTGAGTAAACAATAACAACAACACATATACAGGTGAGGGGGTAACAAAGAAAGAGGAATTAAGCGATCATCAATGATGACGTTTAACAAGAATTGTACGTCAACAAAAAAAATAGACAATGAAAGAGGAAATGGAAGGATGTAGAAAAATCTATACAGTAGTTGTTGTTGTGAAGTTATTCAAATAAACTGCGTAGTAGAAATTTACGTTACAATTCAAATTCTTAAATTAACGGAATTCATCTAAATAAACTTAAATCTAAAGTTATATTCGTAACAATATATACAAGGTGAGATAAAAACAGCAACAAAGTCAAGCGCCACAATTTATACACTTTTTTAAATTGTATTGAATGAAAGCAAAATTATCGGAAATAACGTAAAATTTTAGAATAAGTTTAGATTTGTGCGAGTTGGTCACCTTTGGCGAGAATTATGGCCTTCAAACGGCCAATGAAACCATCACACGCTGCCCAATTGTTGCTCTGCGGTATTTTGGCCCATTCTAACCTTGCTTTTCAAAATAATCCAGACACAATAGTTCAACGGATTGGTATCAGGAGATGTTGGTGGCCATTGTGCGATGGAAATAAAGCGAGGAACCTCATTTTGTAAGCATTCTTGGTTGGCGCGTACACCATCGCACTCTGGATGGTCCTATTGGAATGTCAAAGGTCTGCGGCCAAAATGTTTGCGTGACCATGGCTTTAATACACCCCCCAGAATATTTTCGCGACAATATTCAGCATTTATTCTGATGATATTCGATTAACCAGTTCAGCTGACCACTTTGGAAAGTAAACACGGTCATTTTGTTTGTTTACAAACTGCTGGACAACGAATGTTTTCTCATCGAAGAAAACCAAATTCGTCAGTTCACCACTTTCGGCCATGCTCTTTTCAGTTTATTTTCTTTGCTTTTGTACGCTTGTAAACAATATACGCTTGTAAACAAGCTGTCACTGAAAAAATTTTAACAGCTTTCGGACGAGTGGCTTAGAAATTACAGCAGTCTGAAGTTGGTTGCAGTTTTTTCATCTCACCCTGTATTTATTTGATAAAACAAGCCACTTTGAGAAAAAAATTGTAATCAGTTGGTAGCTATGGCCTTCCCTGTAATAATTATACCATGGATTGCAGCCACACAGTGAAAAGTATCCAACATAAAAGTTTTTTCATAACAAATGGATTTTTTGGATGGTTAATACTTAGTATGATATCCCTTGTTAACTTTTACAACTTTCAACCTTGCCGGCATTGTACAAAGTTTCCCGTTCAAGATGTCGGAGTTTTCTCCAGTATATTTGCTATTTCTATAGCATTTTTCAGACTTGGTAGACTTGAGATGTTATGGCTTCTAATATTTTTCTTCAAAATACTCCATAAGTTCACTATAGGATTCAAATCCGGCGTTTGTGGATGTTTTTGAATCACTTTTGGATATTCATTTTCGAACGATCTGGAACTTGTGTTTGTGTGGTCGTTATGTTGTTGAAATTGAAATGTTGTCTACAATAGACATCTGCAAGAATGTACTCGTACAATGAATGCCCATCCACATTCATGGGTGTTAAGTCGTATTCAGAGTACACAACAACATTGATTGAGTGCAAATGAATTCAACCACCGAAGTTGTGTTGTTCTTCGTTGTGCTTTGTCCGATCAAACGATCAAACTCGAAAGCACAACATGCAGTATGATGGATTACAAGAACAATTTGTACAACATCAATGAGTCCAATGAGTGAACATCATGCATTGTATTTTGTATTCTCTGTTTTCATTCAACGACTTAACATTAATGGTGGGCATTCATTGTACAGGTACATTCATGCAAATGTTTACCTTGTACACTCTTTAAAACTTTATCAGTGAGCAATAGTGAGAAATAATGTCTTTTATTTTTTTCTATTAAAAACAAGTAATTAAAAACTCTAGAAAAATAAGTAAAAGTGGAATGAAATTACGTAAGAAAAAACGTCGGAATCTTCCTTAAGGGCCTATGCGGAAAATTTTCCCAAATATTGCAAATTAGAGCACAAAGTTATATGAGGAGTACAAATAAGTATTTGCAGAAATACATACGCACTTTTAAAGACTTTCCATTTGTTTTTCATGTTTTCGTGGACTTAGGTAATTTTCTTACAAATTGTCTCTCATTACATTTCTTAATTTCTGTAATAAATGTGTACTTTTGTTGATTTTTTACTTGCTAATATTATTAAGTAGAGTAGAGATTGTTTATTAGAAAATATGAATAAAAATAAGTAAAACGTCCTTAAGTTCGACAGGTCCGACCTTTTCATACTCATCGCCGTGAGGTGAACAGTCAAATTTTTAAATTGATCGGTATTTTTATATGTGTTTTATGCCATGGTAAATAACTATCAAGAGAAATATCAAAAATACAGGCTATTGAATATTTGGGCTAGGACCTTGTACATACCGAAATCCTCAAATTGACAAAAATTTGGTGTACAGTTTTGTGGGGTCTATACCATATCGCGGACAGATAACGATAATTTTTTGTAAAAAAAGGATTGGACACCCAATGAGAACCCAAAATAACAAATTAGAACCTACTCAATTGAAAAACGTATCTAAAATACCGAAAATGGGGTAACGTAATATGGGGGAACTCCAAAACTTCGACCAATATTGATAATTTAGTCGTTTGAAAAACGTACCCAAACCTTCCAAAATTTCGAATATTGGGCGGTACCCCAAAAAGTAGACCAATATTGATATTTTTGTTGAAAAGTGTGCTACCCCATAAGTACCTAAAATACCAAACTACAGACAATTCGGCTGAAAATCATGTCCAAATCCTAAATATGAAATGTGGACTTAAAGCCTTTACGTGATGTTAAGTCAGTGACATGTGATGAATAGGACTTAGCGCCTTTACTCATCAATACAAAACAACAGTAACGAAAGAGATAAACATATTTATATATATATATATATATATATATCGAAATCTAAACCGATTTCATCGAAACTTGTCACAGGTTAAGTTATACTAATTTCAGATCTTGGTGCATCATTAACTTAAAATCGGACGAAAATACATATGGGGGCTATATCTAAATCTGAACCGATTTTCAGGAAACTTAACACACATCATTCTAGACCTAATTTAGTACGCTATGCCAAATTTCGTGTAAATCGAAAGATATATAGGGACTTTGGCACACCATTTACATAAAATCGGACAAAAATATATATGGGAGCTATATCTGAATCTGAACCGATTTTCACGAAACTTAACACACATCATTCTAGACCGATTTTCCCCAATTTCAATGCAATTCGTCTTTGGGCCAAATAAGTGACCTATGTCAAATTTCATCCAATTCGGATCATAAATGTGACCTGTACTTTGTTTACAATTTGACATGGACTGACGGACGGACATGCATAAATCGACTTAGAAAGTGATTCTATGCATATACTAAAAAGGAACCATGTGTCTATCTAGTTTCCTTTTGCCTGTTACAAACATATGCACAAAGACATAATACCCTGTACCACAGTGTGGTGAACGGTATAAAAAATTGGCTTTAGATATTCATAAATGTTGCCCTTATTAAGAATATATATACTTTATATGGGCGGAAATGACTACTTCGATGAGTTACAAACAAAAAAAAAACATAACATACCCTTCATACTTTTGTGGATTGTATAAAACCATAATATCTCTTCAATTAATTCGAGTAATTCGAATACTACTGTATAATTCGACACACTCATTGTGTAAAACATGTTCGTGTACGAACTTGCCGCATTTGTTCAAACTTTGTGTGTTACAACATACATTCATACCGAAGTAAACATACACAATGAATACCGGTTCGTCGAGTCTGAAACGTGGATTGTATGAATCAAACGAATATACAACAAATTCGAAACTCTCATACCTGAAGCAATTCATGTTTGTTGTACCCTCACTCATTGCACTTCATTTCAAACAAATTTATAGAATAGAATCCATTACTTTGTGTGAGTGACTCATGGGTGGTGTTTTTGTGCATTCATGCAGATGACTAAGTCTACAATCCCAATTTTCAGCACTACGTTTTAGCACATAATAGCATTTCAGCACTACATTTATTATCCTTTAGGATGTTTAAATAGTAAATCTTTTCCATAATTCCTACAATAAAAACGAGAAGTTCTTCCAATTTTTTCTGTGTTACATTTTTCCAGATATTTCTCTGTGGTTACAGCAAGTTTCGGTGCTCTTTGTACTTCAATATAATTTTTGGACAGCAGATCAAGTAATATTGAGATTTTCCTAGATCAGCATGGTGAAGAACTAATTTTCTCTCAGCAATCGTAGTGTGGCGTCCCATGGTCTCAAATACTCACGATGGCTATCAAGCATAAAGTATTAAAATTTTTTGATGCAATATTTAACTTGATATTCCATGAGATTTACTTTTAAGCGCATTCCTGCTTACCAGTTTTACTCGGCCAAATTTCTCGAGTAAAAAGTTTACAAAGAGAACGAATTAGTAGATTATTTTAGGTTCTGGAATGGAACTTAAAGTTTATACGTGTCCTGTTCCAGAATCTATGAAAGAAATTTAAAAATGATTAAATATTTTTTTCATTTAAAGGTAAATAAAATTTGAAACAACGTTGCTTTTACTCTATGTCTTATCTCAGAGTTTGTTAAACTTACAAGCAGCGTTGCCACATTATGTCTTCAGCAATTGCCACACGTACTACTTTACGTAGTCCCCTATCATTGCATATGTAAACAAAAACAATATGATTTTTGTTACTTATTAAATATTTAGCTTTTATTGCATTTTTTACTGACTGACACCTTCTCCCATAAATGACATCGGTATTAATAAAACCCCGATAGTATTGAATTATGTTAGAACTACAAAAATATCGTTATTGTTTCATGGCTGGATGTTTTGCTGCCGGCGGTAGTTTCTTTGGTAAAATGCCGAGTTTTTTGGACAACATGGATTTCGAGATTATCCACTGGCACAAGGGTACATTGATATGAATATTTAATAAAAAATTGCTCATTTTTATTATTTTATCTTTTTAGCATTCACAATCATTAAATATTTTCCAATAGTATTAATGATAATATGCAATGTTCTCAATTGGCGTTACTTTCTAAAGGCTCTTCAGTTAACGGAACAAACACTAACCGCCACAGTATTAACATCTGCCTCCAATTATGTTGTCTCGGTAAGTGAACTCAACAAATTACAACTCTTTTTTAAAAAGTTCAATTAATTAAAACCACATCGAATAATATACTGCATTGAATTGATCCAATTTATAATGAACTACAAAAATTCCGTATTTTGGAGAGTATGTCACGTTTTCAAAACACTTTGGCTCTATTTATTATTACATGGGGAGTGCAGGAAAATTACTACTACTACTACTACTAAAAATAAGCTGTAGCCTTCTCGCCAAAACTTTTTTGTAACAAAGCCGCCATATAAAAAATTCCCCATATAAATGTTTTGAATATCCACCGCATGGTGGATAAGTCCGAAAGGTTAAGTCCGGACGGACTTAATCGATGCCGCCAAAATCTGAAATATATGATGGTAAAATAAAACCTCTATCGAGGTTTTGAATTTCTAGCTAAGTTATTTGTTTAAACAATGTTTTTATAATTTTTTTTAACAATACACAATGTTTATCGTTTTTGAAACATCCATTATAGAAAACATATTAAATTCCATACTATAAAGTCGCATTATTTTAGAGTGTTCTTTGCCCATAATTATGTTTCATTTAACAGTGCATTGGATGATGTCGTAAAGAGTATCAATAAATTTCCATGGAGTTAATGAGAACTAAATTACAGCCAAATCGGGGGAAAAGTCCCATAATCCTCAACTTCAAAAGGCGGTACCGTTATATATATATATATATATATATACTTTATGGGTCTCCGGTGAATATTTCAAGGTATTGCAAACGGAATTAAAAATTTAATATACACTTTACCTTATGGTGGAGGTTATAGTTACATCTGTGAAAAAAACACACGAAACAAAGATATGTGACTTATTTCGAAACCTTCTTCCATTGGCAAACAATGTCATACATTTTCCATTAAGGACCAAAAAGACATATTCGCCATAGGTCAAGTTATTGGGCCATAATTTTCGAAAATTCGTAAGACCTTAGCATGTCCGTAGATTTCCACTTTCATTTGCCTCTGAAAATTTAAAAAATTTGTCTTTTTATAATCTACATCATAAAGTGGAGTGTACTTCCGTTGGAATTACCTATATATTCATAATCGAAATGAAAATATATTTCCATTCGATACATAGAGCTTTGAAATGTTACACATAGATTGCTACTACTCCTAGAATATTTGATGTAAAAAACGGTTTTGGTATAGACCCCATATAAAGGTACCGCTCCTTTATTATGGTATTTTCTGACCGAAGCTTGGTATTCCCCAATATAAATATCCCATCCAATAAAGGAAATTTCCTACGAAATTACTTAATTTATCATTTCGATTTTAAAACTAAGTCCCCTATATAACATTAACGACATGTGTCGATATTTTGAATGTATTATTTTCAATTTTTTTTGCATGTTTGACCTCAGATAAATGTTTAGCCTCACTGTAGGCATATTTATGGTCCTAGTTGCATTTTTAACGGGAGGAACTGTAATTGGGCATGTCATGATCTTGGTGGCAAAAAAAAATTCTCTTTAGAAAGTGTTAAATACACGTTCATGTTTTGACATATTGGCCAAAACGGAAGAATACTGATTTTTGTCACCGTATTCACTGTGCTAAGCTCTGTCGCATTCTAATATGGACTTCGCTCGAAAATTAGCAAAATGGATGACCTAGGAGAATTATTCTTTGGAAAATTGCCTATTTCCGACCAAAAAAAAAAAAAAGAAAAAAAACAAAAAAACAAGCTGTAGGTACAGAATAACATGTTAAGATTTGGTCACCAATCGTAAAAACACTGTTTCAAGAATATAAATCGGCTATTGTTAACATTTTCACTTGAAACTTAGGTTAGGTTCATAATAAATAAAAATAAGTAAAAACACCGTTAAATTCGGCCGGGCTTTTTCCATTCCGATTGTACTTTTTATATATTTTTTAATAAAATTTTTATTGTTATTAACAATTAATAAAAAATATACATAAAGAATTCATTTTTATATACATATAGATAAGATGAAATCTTACAAATTTTGACCAATTTTTGTACATATTGTAAGAACAAAAATAACAGTAACCAGTAAGGAATGTAGTAAAGTCGGACTGGGCCGACTATATGATACCCTTATATATGTAAGCTTTGCTATATCTATATCTGAACCGATTTCAAGGAAACTTACCAGAGATTAATTTATATTAACTTCAGAATATTGTGTCAATCGGCCTAGCCATTTATTTAAAATCGGACGAAACTATATATAGGAGTTGTATGTAAATCTGAACCGATTTTCACGATGATTTTAGGTAAATGGTGCACCAAATTCCCTACATATCATTCGATATGCACGAATTTTGGCATAGCGTACTGAATTAATTAACAACAAAATTTTGGAACATTGAAGGAAAATAAGCGTGGAGGAAATAGAATTAAGTTGTTGACACCACAAGTTTTAAGTCTGATCGAGTTCTATGTAGAAAGTCAACCTGGAATTACCCTCAAAGCCATAAAAACTAAACTGTTGAGAGAAAATGATATAATTATTTCCACAAGCTGCATAGAATATGAATTACGGAAATTAAAAGTTACGTTTAAGATGGCCTCTATTGAAATAGAACGAAAGAATGACTCCAGAACATTAGGCTTGAGACAAAAATATGCTCAAGATTTTACAAAATGGATACCACAACAAGGAGAAAAATTAATATTCATTGATGAGTGTGGATTTAATCTTCACATACGAAGAACCTAAGCCCGTTCAAGACAAGGAAGAAGACCACACATTGTGTTGCCTACGGTCAGAGGTCGTCATGTCACTATAATTGCAGCAATAAACAACGCGGGAGTTGTACATCACACAATCGTTTCTAATTCCAGGGTCAATGCAGACAGATTTAAATTATTTATAGAATTTTTTTTTTTTTGAGAAAATCAATCCAGAGTTGGAAAATAACGCTCAAATACACAAGCGACATTACATAAAAAATTTGATCGAATCCAAAAGATGCAACCTTAAATTCTTACCGCTTTATTCTCCAATGCTAAATCCAATTGAAAATGAATTTTCAAAAATAAAATTATGTGCAATAACTGAGCTGTGTGACGTTTCAATGGAACATAACATTGTTGATGTAATCGAGCGAAGTATTCAAAAGTTTACTCGCAAGATTGTTCTAACTACGTTATGGACATGGTTTTGAAAATCCCACAAGCTGCAACTCGGGAACCCCTTCATTAAGATAAGCAGTTACCTTATCATCAACAATTTATTAAGTCAAATATGTATTTCGCATTTAGGACCATGTATTCAATTCCTGTTCTTAAATATTTATTTATTGAAATGTCAAGAAATACCCCAGTTTGTATTACTATTTATTTAGTGTTTTTGTAGTAAAAATATTAAATGAAATCACACCGAATTAAAGAATATTTATGTTAATTACATAGCCATACAACTATATTTGTTAATATTCTTTGATTTAATTTTCAAATATTGGTTTAAAATTACTGCAAATATTATATTTCCTTAGATAAGAATAAAGGTTTCATTTAATTTGGAAAAAGTTTCATTCTATTTGTAAAAGGTTTCATTTCAATTGGAAAAGGTTTCATTCTATTTGTAAAAGGTTTCATTTCAATTGGAAAAGGTTTCATTTAATTTGGAAAAGGTTTCATTTAATTTGGAAAAGGTTTCATTTAATTTGGAAAAGGTTTCATTTAATTTGGAAAAGGGTTCATTTAATTTGTAAAAGGTTTCATTTAATGTGGAAATGCTATATATGGGACCTGTATCTAAATCTGAGCTGATTTTCACCAATTTCAATAGAGTTCGTCCTTGGGGCAAATAAATGAGCTGTGCCAAATTTCATCTAAATTGGATTATAAATGTGACCTGTAATTTGTTTAGATTTTAACATCAACAGACGGACGGACGGACGGACATGCATAAATCGACTCAGAAAGTTATTCTATGCATATTCTCAAAAAGAAGCATGGGTCTATCTCAATTCCTTTTGCCTGTTACAAACATATGCACAAAGACATAATACCCTGTACCACAGTGTTGTGAAGGGTATAAAAAGGATTTGAAAATTCTGAAATAATAGAATTTAGCATTAACTTTTGGGAATCAGCTTCGAAATCATTGAGTTTAAAATAATATTGAAGTGATTCCCACTGCGCCAAAATTGTTTCAATAACTTCTTGGCGAGAAAGCCATCGAGTTGTTGAGTATTTAAAAACATCATGAATATCTGTACCAAATTATTCCTGAAACATTGAGAAATCATCTCTCATAGAATTATTACAGAAATAATAATTAATATATTTACTGAATTTATCAATCTGATCGGTAATACTGAATTTTGAAGCGGCATAGGACACTACATTAAAACAATGGCAAATTCGTCCATTCGTAACGACAGCGGGGAATGCCGATTCATTTCATATTGTATGTTTAAGCACTTATAATACTCTTAAGTGAGAATAATTTGATACAATTTAGAAATAGTGCTAAATATGTCATTGGGGTGCTATTGTATTTTTGACTTCAAAATGGTGCTAAAATTAGTACAATTGTACCAACTTTGCATCCCTGCCAGAGTGTTATATGGGAGACATCCGAATCTCTGAACAAATTGTCGATTCTGATGCCAAATTCGGTCCGATTTCAGTATAAAAGTATATCGTAAGTAATTCGGAGTTTCCAACCGAATTAGGATAAAATTCATTGGGAAATTTAGATTTTCTGAGAGAAATCGGTCAGAGCTCGGAAGAAAATGTTTGTAAAATTTAGATTTTCTGACAGTAATCGTACCAAATTTTGATTAAAAAATTACATTTTTCCGAAAAAAATTGTAGGGAAAATATTTTTTTAAATTTTTCTTTGTATACATTTTTCAAAAAAAAAAAAAAAACGACGAATTAGTAACAAAGACATAAAAGTATAAAGATACGACAAACGATACGTCAACAATTTCTAATAGATGTATTTTCCTCTGTTGTTACGATATCATAACAAAAGAGCAAACAATATTAAAAGTTTTAAACGCTATATCGTAAGCTTATAAAATAAAAAACATATTTTTTGAGTACATATCTCTAATTTTATTTACATTTTATACATACATTATCGCGTATTTGCGTTTTTATTGTTATCATGCCTCTGTTATGCCTGATTCCCCTTGGATATTTTTTCAAAAAACATTTTGTCGAGTCTGTACGGTTTCTATGTCTTTGTTAGTAATTAAAAATCTACAGGTGTATTCAATTCTTCTTTCCTTTTAGTAATAACACCGTCTGACTCGAAACACCAGTCCCACCTTCTACAAATTTAAAATCACTTTTTATTTCCAAACACTCTTTAAAACGGCATTTACATTAGAACTTGTTGCAGGGTTAACCTACTTTATGAGGATTTATTTGACAAATATGCAAAGGAATTGACAATTAAAACCCATTGGGTTAACTAAATCCGGTACAATGTAAACGTACTATAACACTTGAATACAACTCAAGCACGCTTTTGCTTTCACTGCTGAACAACAACTAAGAATATAAAAGTATGCAAAACCGGTGCACTGATTTGTTTATGTTTTTAAAACACAATTATTTTTACAATGAAAGAGAAAAAGTCCGATTTACATTTCCTTCGTATAAACATCACAGCAACAATAAAAACCCCCCACCATTGATTTATTTGAGAGAGAATATCCTAAAAAATAGAGTCTTCTCTCCGTTTCGGATATCTTAGATTTTCGGAAAAATGCGCAGAAAAAGGTGCCGAAATTCTAAAGGAAATCTAAAAAAATCGGTTCAACTTCTAAGAATATTTTAGAGAGAAATGGGCAAATTTCTAAAAAAATTCAGAAAGCTCGGAAAAAATTCTGAAATCAGAGCCCTCGTAAAAATTATTAGCTGGTCCAAGAGAACACTGGAAAATAAAATTAGAGTCAATTCGTTTTAAAAATGTGTCCAAAACTCCCAACATACCGAATAACGATAGTTACCATTATATGGCGGCTACCGATGACATGGGCCAATATTGATAATTTTTTTATAGGGTATTTTTCTCCTCAGTGAAAACATTAAATTGCTCCCAAATTGTTTGAAAAACATGCTCAAGATCGCCAAAATACCGATCTTTGATGTGAAACTTTATATAAGGGCTTTCTAAAAGGTAATTTTTAATTGAAAAAAATACTACCATACCACAACCGTGTGGCCAAAATAAAAAAATGATAATTTTCGGCAAGAAGATTTGGTACTCAATGAAAACCAAAGGTAGCAAAATACAGCCAATTCGGTTGAAAAACCTCTCACAAGACCCCTAAAACGGAATATTTGGGAAAACCGTTATATAAGGGCCGAAAGCCTGTACAAATTTCAAATCTCTATCCCAAATACTGCGATATCTATCGTAATTTCAACAGACGGATAGATAGACATGCAAAAAATGACAATAGAATTTTATTCTGATCAAATATGGGGTCTCCGGTGAATATTTCCACCTTATGGTGAGGGTATAATAAAAAAAAATTGATTTTTCGAAACCGAGAATGGGTCTGCGTCGTCTTAATGAATGGAATAGCAAAAAGTGATTTCTTAACATTTCATTCAAATTTGTCTCTTGGATGCACATTTTTCTAGCTTTTATGTCAAGTTTTTGAATAAAAATTACAAATCTAGACATTTTTTAAGGTGTACTTTTAACCACAAACTTTGATTGTGGACAAATTTCAATATTATGTTATGGGGGCTAATCAAATTGTCTACATGGTATTTTACTCATTAAAATTATAAACGTCTAATTACGATAACATTTTAGCAGCCTAGGACTGTTTACAAAACTCATATTATTTAAAATTCTATATTTCAACTTATGAAAGGAAATAGTTATGTCTAATAACATTTGTATACATTCTTCTTAATTTCCTTTTTATATTTTATTTCTTTACAGTTTCTTTTAGCCTCGCTCATATACAAGGAACCTATAACATGGCTCTCAACAGTGGGTACAAGCCTCATAGTATTGGGTTTGTGGTTCTTGTGTGACGATACGAATAAAACCGTCAAGAGCAGCAAAGACAAATGAAATAGCAAACCCCCTCCTGTTTCCCAACAATTTGTGATAAATAGATGGAGATAAAACAAAAGATATTTTGTTTTTTTGGATAAATTTCAGATTTTTTTATGTAGATTTTTCTCTTTTAAATTTATTAAAAATTATATTTAATAAAATGAACATAAATAAGTATATTTCCTTGTTGTTGTTGATTTATTTTTTTGTTTTGTTTTGCTTGTTTTATTTTTGTTGTTTCATTATTAATAATTTCTTCCTTACGGTTTGTTTTTTGTTTTGTTGTTGTTTCATCATCATCTTCATGGTTTTTCTTCTTCATCAACATCATCTTCTGTTTTGTGTTTCATATTTCTTCTGTAGTAATTAATAATTAATAGAAATTATAGATTTCTTGGTATATATATTTTTTTAGGGATCGATCATCAATCATTTTGTTTCATATATTCTTGATCTACTTCTTATTCTGCTTCTTCGTAAGAGAGAAAAAGTTGTTGTGTTGTATGTGTATGTTGTTGTTGTGAGAGTTAAATAGTATAAGTATCATTTTTTCTGTTTTCTGTTTTTTGTTTTGTATTATTTTGTAATCGTTTTATGTTTAATTATATTCATATGTTTAAGATTAAATACATAAATGTTTTGTTTTTTGTTTTATATATTATATAATGAAAAAAATAAAGAGGGATTTCTGCCTTCTGCTTCATAATTGTTCAAAGGGTATGATGGGTGGGTTGGGGGGATGAAGGGGAGGAGATGTATTTTTGGTGAGGATTGTTGTTGTTGTTTAATGGTGGTGCATTGTAAAAATTGTTGAGAATAAGAGGACGGTTATATGCCGCCGTTTATTATAGATTTCATTTAATTCTCCTGTGGCAGGAGAAAAAGAGGTCGTCGAGATAAACTCTTTTTGCACACCTTTGCAAGGCTTTGGAAAAAAGAGTTCCAACCTCTCTCTTGGTTGCTGGTTGCATCTGTCGTTTAGGTTCATGAATTGTGGATTGGGTCTAGGGTATTGGGGTCTAGGGCTGGAGCGCTTTCCCGGTCAATATCCGGGAATACATTGGTTGCTTCTTCTTCATTATCATCATCATCTTGTTGCTGATTGATTATTATACCTACTACGTTACTTATATATTTTTGTTGCTCTAAATACGTACGTATGAATTTTTTATGTTAAAATTCTTATTTCTTGTGATTTAATGCTACATATATTCCATTTGTATTCTTTGTTATTTTTGTGGTTGTGGTTGTTATGTCTGAGAGGAGGAGGAGGAGAGGCGTGTTTTGTATTTTTCCTTCATAAATCGTTGCTTTTGCCATTGGGGCCTTTTGAATTCTGTTATGTTTTTAATTTTTATTTTCTAAACCCAAAGGCATGCGATTTGAGGATTGCCGTGAGTTCATGTATGAATTCGAGTTAGCATTGGATGTGTTGCCGCCGCCTTGTTGGCCTCCGCCTGTACGTCCACCACCGCCACCCATGTGTCGTGGTGGTGGTCCATTACTGCGTGGATTTGTGGAGTTATTGCCAGCTGTTCGGCTGCCACGATAGTTACCAGCACCACCAGAATCGTAGCGGGAGCCACTGTCTTTATTGGCATAGACATTGCCGCCACTGCCATTCTGATAGTAACCGCCGCCACCACCACCTCCAGAGTTGTTATTCTCATTGTTGCGGAAATAAATGCCACCACCGCCGGACTGGCCACCACTACGGGCATTGCCGTTCTGTTGGGGTCCACCGGAGCCATAATTGGAGCGACCTCTATAGCCGCCAACACCACCGCCTGCATTACCGCCACCCGGTCTTCTATCATCTCTACGGTCATCGTTACGTCTTTGATAACCACCACCACCTCCACCGGTTTGACCTTGACCAACACCACCGCTGCTTGGATTGCGACCAGCCGAGTTGCGTCCATAACCACCTTGAGACTCCTGTGAATGCCAATGATTGCTGGTCTCCTGGCGGTTATCGTTGCCATACGTATCTCCCGATGCGTTGGCGTTAACGCCGCTGCCGCCACTGCCAGCAGCCGCAGCCGTTGATGTCCATTCATTTTTACGTGGCTGTTGCTGTGTGGCGTTTTGTACCGTTATTGGTGAATTGGCATTAACCTCTGTATTCCATTTATTAGCTGTACTTTCCAACGCTGGCGACGCTGCAATGCCGCTAGTCTTTAGACCGGCATCTGTCCACTCGTTGATTAAATCATTCTTATTGATTGGTGTGGGTGCCTTAGTCTGTGATGGTTCATCTTCTCGTACGCCCAACGATTTCTTGAGGACATTGGCAGCATTGTTGAGTTGATTCTGTCTCTGCTGTTCATAACTGAGACCGGCAACAACGGGATTGTCAAATGGAAATCCTCCACTCTTGGGTGTATTATTCATGTCCGAAGTCTGTTGATTGAGATTTCCAGACATTTGATGCTGTGGAGTTTGAATGTTACCGCCGCCGGCCATTATATTTTGAGCAGTTGAAGGAATTTGCTGTTGTTGCAAGAGACCACCTGATGTTGCCTGCTGTTGTTGATGCTGTGACTGTGGTGGTTGTTGCGACTGTTGTTGTGGCAAATTTTGTTGCAGTTGCTGTTGCAACAATTGATTTTGTGGCACCTGCCCTAAACGATTCATTATAATTAGGGCAGGATTGGCTTGTTGCACCGCATCCATGGAACCGGACATAAGCATTTGCGAGGGCACTGCCTGGGCCTGTTGTTGGGAACTCTGAATACTCTGGCTTTGAACTGGGGAGAACAACTGTTGCTGCTGCTGGTTGTTTAGTTTTTGCGTCTGAGGATGATGTTGTTGCACTTGTTGTTGCTGCTGTTGCTGTTGTTGGTGGAATAACGGACTTGGTGAATTACTTGTTAAAATACCTGCGGCGGCGGTGGAAGTCTGGGCTTGTTGGGTTGCCCCAGCCAATTGTGGGAATGATTGATTTGTGAATGTTTGAGTTTGAATGGGTTGTTGTTGCTGCTGCTGTGGTGGCATATTAGCAACTGGCAACTGCGCTTGTTGTTGCTGCTGTGGTGGCGGTGTTGGTCCGACACCATTTGTCAATATCTGTTGAGAAGTTTGTTGTTGTTGCTGCTGCTGTTCCGACAAAACATTTGGTGAGGGTTTCTGTTGCTGCTGCTGTTGTTGGTGGTGCAGATTTTGCAAAGCCACTTGTTGCTGCTGCTGATGTGGTGTTTGTTGCTGCAACATTTGCTGTTGTTGAGCAGGCGGCACTTGTTGTTGCTGCTGCTGTTGTTGTTGTTCAAAAATTAAAGTCGTTTGTGGTCCAGCCTGACCTTGTGCATTCAGTTCGGGTGAATCCAATTCGCTGTCCTGCAGGAAATAAAAGTTTCCACCGCCAATGACTTCAGCCAGGGGACGCATTTGTTGTAAATACTGTTGATGTTGTTGCGCCTGTTGCTGCTGTTGTTGTGCTTGTGCCTGTTGTTGCTGCTGCTGTTGTTGTTGGGGATGTGGTGGATGTTTGAAGAATCCTTGCTCCACAGCATGAACAGGTGTGGGATTGTATAGACCCGGTGGTGGCAGTGGTGGTTGTTGCAAAGGTGCCATACCAGCCGGAGGATTTGCCGGGCTATTTAACATTTGTTGTCGTTGCTGATTTTGTGGAGGACCGCCCACAGTGGCTGGTTGTGGAACAACCTGTTGTTGTTGCTGCTGCTGGGGTGGTAAGCCTGCTGCAGATTGCGGTGGCACTGCACCACCGCCACTACCACCAATTATGGCGCCTCCAGGGGGCAATTGCTGCATTTGCTGGGGTACAGGTCCTGGCATGGCAGCATACATGGCCACATGAACCGGAGTAGTAGCTCCCGAATGAGGTGCTGGTGTAGTACCCTGAAATGCTGGCACTGCTGAGGCTGGCGGTGCCATGGGAGTCTGCAACAATGGCTGACCACCGCTAGAGACAGGAATATTTGCCTGCATTACTTGTGGCTGAACTGGTTGATGTGGCTGCTGCTGCTGCAATTCCATATGTTCTGTATGTTGTTGCTGTTGTTGGATTCCTGGCTGATGCGTTGGTGGTTGCTGATGATGCTGCGTCACCTGCTGCTGCTGTTGAGCCAACAGAACGTTATCGTTGGCTTCGTTTCCTGTAAGAACGCCTGCTGTTGGTCCATTATTATCGACATTCAAATTTTCCATGGCATCCTCTACGGCTGCCATTTCATCGGGGCCATTTCCAACATGATCAACAACGACTCCACCACCACCGCCACCATCTTCCATGACAATACCCTCGTTGTTAATACCATCACCGGTCACTTCAACACCATCTTCCTTGATTTCAGTTTCTGGCACATCTGTCAAGTAGATTTTATCCAAATAATCTGACTCCTGAATGCGATGGAAAATCCGCTTAACATTTTCATATGTTGTATCGCCATACTGTTTGGGGCGTGCATCAATGGTCATTGAGAATATTTCGGCTGCTTTTTGCGCGGAAGTGGCAAAGGGTACATCTTCAGATGTTTCCGGGCGTCTAGTTTGAACGTCAGCACAGCTAAAAAAACACAAAAGGGATTGAGTGTTTACATGAATTTGAAATTTAGAAAATCTAATGGACTTACAATTTCTCCAAAATATCCAGTTCACTTTGTTCCAGCTTAGCAGCACCATTTTCGCCATTGAGAAAGTCATTGCGTACAGCATCGTCAGTGAAACAAGACAATATATTTTGTATTATAAGAACTTCCCGAATTTTAACCGTTTCCGCTTGGGCTTTAGCAATCAGATCCTATGATGATCGGGGGATATTAAAGTTTTAGTAAAAAGATAAATGTATTATTAATGTGTCATTAATTGTTTGTGTTCTCCTGCTACTTACCTTACGAGCCTGCTTCTTCTGCTCCTTTTCGGCATCCTTGGTAAATTGTTGCATTTGTTTGACCAAGTCTCTGGCAAAATCCAATGTAGCCAATACGGCATCATATTTATTGACAGCAGCACGTTGTTCAGAACTCAACTCCTTACCCATGGCATCTAGGGCACGATAGCCTTCCAATTTCGTCTAAAAAATAAAAAAAAATTATAATACAAAGGGTGAGTATAAGATGACAAAAATTGGTATATCCGAGTTTTCAGGGGATAAAAAAAAGTATTTGCAGATTGTTTCCAATGTTTTGACGTAAATCCAGTATACAGTACCCAACTTTTAGTTAATTTTAATGGTTCTAAACACAACCAAAGTTGATATAATTGGCATCTCGGGTTCTCAGAATATATATAAATCTCAATATATTTTCAGTATTTTCTAATATTGCAGATGCATATTTCAACTCATGTGACTGTAATTATTTTGCATTTCGGATTTAAAAAACTTTAAACTAGGAGTGTTAAATATATAACCAAACATTCTGATTTAAAGTGGTTGATTTGATAAAGTGGTTGAAATTGACATAGTTCGATCAATTTAAGGTAATACTAAGATGTCTCTTCCATGTTTTGACAAAGCTCCTGTATAATTCTGCACATTTAAAATGTCTTAAACTCATTTTCCATTTGGTATTTCCGCTAAAATTCCTTTATACAAATTCATTTTTACAATGATCACAATGGACAATACGCATCTTTAAAACAGCCCAGCCTGTAACCTAACCGAGCCAAAAATGTTCAATGTATTTAGCCAGATGCATTTTTCAATTCAAGTGACTGTAATTTGGCATAACAATGCTCAGAAGATGCCTAAAATTTTTGAAATGTTCGGCCTTCCCGAAACCATTCATTTCAGATAATACTAAGAACCATAATCTCGTCTCATATATTTATAGGAATTCTGGATAAAAATTTATGTTTTACTTAGAAGACTCGATGATAGAGTTCAACTAATAAAAAAGGATTTTAGTAAAAGTGATAAAAATGTCACATCGCTCATTTGTGTATGAACGACGTCTATCAAAAATTGCGATTTTTGAGTTAATGATGCAGAATTGTTCACTATATCAGACTTCATGTTGTGTAAAAAAATCAGATAAAAATATTTTAAACACTCTGATTAAGAAGCTGTAAAAGTCCCTGTGTTTTATGTTAGGTGTGTGTCAATTGAAAACTCAAAACTTGCAGTAAATGAGCGATATGTGATTCAATACTCTAATAATGAAAATTACATGTTAAATATTCATGATACTCTAATAATGAAAACAAAACAAAATAAACGTTGTAAGAAATGGTACCCATATCCTGCCTCATTAAATTTGTGACTTAACGATTGGGTCACAAATCTGAATTTATGAAACGTGGAGCTGTTCGAATTTACAAGGAGACGACAAGATTTCATCAAGACATAGAGGCGACAAAAGGATTTAAAACTAAATTGTAGCAGATATTTGAAGAGAATATCATAACACACCGACCTTCATAATAAATTTAATAGGTCGGGACGATATATTGGTTCTTTAAACAAGTGTCAGTCGGTGTTGCCGACAGATACACTGGTGGCCAAAACTAAAGCAACTGAAATCGCAATTTGAATAAATGAATTGCAGAAATAAATAGGTAATTTATTCATTTTTAGGAAGCAACAAATATAAACGCAAAATTTATTTAAGAAATATTCTGCCCAATTTTTGCATGGTCAAAACAACTTTTTATTTTTATTTTTTTTTCTTATAAATAAGCAAATTTTGCGAGTAATCGCCATCATAACCATTATTTTTCAATACGGCAGCACATATACGAGGCATTGAATATAAAATATTCTCAATTTGATACTTGGGTATACTATTCATTGCATCCTGAAACTGTAGGAAGAGGCTATGTTTGTGAATCTCTTTTAATTTTTCTATCTATGATACTCCAAAGATTTATCTATAGGGCGAAGATCTGATAAACCCTGATTTTGACTCCCGCATAACCAATATAGCTTTATATTTGCATCAACGAAGAGAACCTCTGTTTCCTCGACAGAGGGGTCTAGGATCCGAAACGACCCGAGTCTTACTCGGCCAACGTCTGTCACCTCAGCCCATTGCTTCCCAGAACCCTTGCAATACTGAGGCTAGAACCTTCATTTTATGATCCTCTCACTGTAATTTTTTCGTGTCTGAGCAGAGAAATAATATATCTTCTCTGGGTCGGATTACAATTAATATTAGCTTTTATCAAAGCCAATTTGGCCTTCCGATTCTTTTAAGGAAATAAATGGTTTTCTTGACAGTTTCCGAGTATGCTCTGTTCTCAAGGCTCAATTTGGCTCAATTTGGTACGTTTTGCAAAATTACATTGCAATCGGAGAAATGTCAAGTGTTTGATAAACCATTAATTTTTGCTAGTCTTTTCGGTCTTTGGTGCACCATTTATATCAAATCATACGAAAATATATCGCTGACTTAACTTGTAAAGGCAACAAGTCCATTTTTCCAGAAATTAAGATTTTGATACAGTTATGAATAAGGCAAAATACATCGATTTAAAAAATTAAAATGCAGTTATGTCATTTTTTTATTGTTGTTTTGTATTGATGAGTAAAAGCGCTAAGTCCAATTCAAACACACTTTGCTGGATTAACATCATGTAGAAGCTCTAAGTCCACTTTTTATTTTGAGGATTTTGGACACGATTTGCAGCCGAATTGACTATAATTTGGTATTTTAGATACTTATGGTGTATAGCACACCTTCCAACATAAAAATTAACAATATTGGTCCACTTTTTAGGGTACTCCCCTTATACTCATTGGGTACAAAATCTCCCCTCCAAAAATTATCAATATTGGCTGAATTTTCGGAGTAGCCCTCATATTACGTTACCCCCATTATTCGATATTTTGGAATTCTTTTTTCAATCGAATTAATTCTAATTTGATATTCTGGGTTCTCATTGGGTGTAGAATATTCCTACAAAACATCGATATCTGTCCGCGATTTAGTATATCCCCCATATAAGTGTACGGCCCATTTTTTGACAATTTGAGGAAAAAAGTCAACAATTGTGCACATTTATTGCAGTAATTAAGAAATATAATAAGTGAAAAGTTGTAAGAAAAAGACCTAGGTCCATGAAAACTGAAAAACTTAGCAACGGAAAAGGCTCCAAGTCCCAAAAAGGCGCGTATCTCCGCAAATACTTATTTTTTCATTTTTCTCTTACAATACAGAAACAAATTGCATTTACAAATTTAAAACATTTTTATTAAAAAAAAAAAAAGATTGTTTTTGGTCTCTCCTGAAAAATTGTTAAAAAGGGACTTATTGCCTTTATAAGTTAAGCCAGCATAAAACTACAGTGTGTTGAAGGAGGGCTGGATCCTAGGAGGGCTGTTGATTCTGATGGAAAATGGAAAAGACTAACAATTTTCTTCGAGAGCAGTTTCTACAAAAATGTACACAACTTGGTTGAACATTTAAAGCTCGATTTAATTTTTTTATGTATAAAAACAACAAACATTTGTAAGTAATGCCATAATATAACGCTATTGTGCACGACCTATAATAAATATTTCAATATACATTTTATTTTTTAATTTCTACATATTAGAATCTTAATCTTAAATTTCAAATCCCACATGCAATAGCTTGCAAACAAGGGCACCGGCCTAATTGCGAATCAGGGCATAGTAAAAAAAATTCAAACTTCTTTGTGATTTTTTTGAGAAACTAAAAACCTACGAAAAAATGCAACAATGCAATCCAACGCAAAGGCAAGTAATTCAGGTCAAACGAAAAAAATAAGGTAAACCCCCACACTTTTGTTTATAAACAAAATTAAATCAAATGTGAATCATAATGAAGAAAATTGATAAATGACAAATAAATGTTATAAAAAAAAACAATAACAAAAACATGAAAGATAACCACATTTCAATTAGTAATAAATTTTATAGAAGGATGACTCGGTGGTGGGGTAAATTTACAACGACGAATAAAATTATAATCCCTATGCATTATGATGGAGGGGAGGAGCACGGACATAGGCAAGAAATATACAACACAAAACAGTAGTAGCTACCAGCAGCAGCCGCCGCAGCAGAAGAAGAAAAGCAGCAGGCGAGAAAGAATTGTACAAAAACAGAACTACAAAAAACACATGCCCCCCAACAAACAACGAAAACGAATTGCACATTGCCATATTGTTTGGTTGGTTTCAGTTTAGCGAAAGAAAGAAAACAAAAATCAACATTTTTGCATGGGAAGGCGCAGACACACACACATACACAAAAACACATGTACAAGCGGGCAAACAACAAAAGAAACTAAACAAAATAATTAATGAAAACTATTTTCCGAATATTTAATTTTCTCTATAAAGAAAATTTTAGGATATGACATTTCCCATTCATTGATGGTATTCCCGAGTTTTTGTTGCTGTAAAATAAACAAACTTTCGATTTTATTCTATTGCTTATTCTATGCCATCGCATAGATATGGCAACTCTACACACACAGCCTTTTGATACTAAACATGGCGTCGCGAAAAAAAATCCGCAAAAACGTACAAAAGAAACAAAAACGAAATGCAAAGAAACGAAAAAATGGGACAAAGAACAAGCAGATTTGTTCCATCCTTTCCTTTGTCCTAAATCTCGAGACATATGATGATTTTCATTACTAATCCCCTGTTCCGAATAAATTCCATAATTTCAAATTTTGTTTTCTTGTAAATAAAAAACTTTTTTCACAAGTTTTTGGGGGAAAAGAAACAAAAAAAAAAATTTGCCGGTCGGCCGCAGACGCTACCAACAAACGCAAGACAATACAAAAGCGGAGAGTAGGAGGTATCGCTCGTTTTTTTTCTTTCTTTGTAAAGTCCCAAACTGAACGGCGGCGGCAGAGGCGACGGCAAGGGTGGGGATGCTTGCTTTCCAAATTACAAATTTTTCGAACTTCTTTTAAATTTTCACTTCAAAATTGTGGTTCACCTTGATGTTTTTTTTTTCTTTACATATTCATCAATTAATTTTCATTGTGGCTTATTGAATATTGTATTTTTTTCAGTTTATTCTGTGTTCTTTTGCACTTTTTTCTGCCATTCTACTCATACAGACACACAAACACACACGCACCACTCATCATCATCACAGCCAACTCTATTTGTCGTCGACGACGTCGTCGTCGTGTACACTTACCTTTCGTTTTTCCAAATTGCGTATTTTATGCTCAATTGTGGTAAAAGTCAATTTCATGGGATTCAGGGCATCGTTGCTAGCATCCTTGTTGGCCACCGGACCTGCTGTTACGGAATTACCAGTCGCCGAATTGGTTTCCCAATTTTTTCCATTGTTGTTGGCGGCGTTGGCGCTGCTGCCGTTGCTGTTATTTTGGCCAGCGACATTGGCAGCAGAGGCGGCCACCACCACATTGTTGGTAGTTTCTTTAGTGGATTTGTTGCTTGATGTCTCATTGTTGGTGGTGCTGCTGCTGGCGCTGTTACTGTTGGTGGATTTGGCCGAATTTTCCGTTAGTTTTTTATTGCCCTTACCACTACCACTAGTTCCACTCGGGCCACCAGAATTCATTGAATTCACGGAGGTTTGTTTCGCTAGCTTAGTATTTGTTGTATTATTTGAAGCAGAAGGCATCCTTCCTCTTACGGAAAAAAAACAGGAATGAAGCAAAGAGCAGAAAGTCGACTCTCGATTAATCGACTCGATAACAAGTTGCATGGAAATATTGAATAATCGATTTTGTGTGTGCTGTCGATTAATCGAAAAGGGTTGCCAATGTCACGTTATTGGTCTTCCAACCGTAATGTATGGGAGTGTTCAAATATTTCTATTAAGAAAATTCTGTTAAAGGGGAATTACCTTGATTATTCGTCAAATAAATTTTGCATTATCGCAAAACCCCTTATTAAGGTAGCAATGTGTAGGTCGAATTGATTTATTAAAAATGGTTTCAATGGAAAAAACTTTTATAGAATTTTGGTCTGCTCCAGAGCCTGGAAGAATATGAAATATTTTACTTCGATAACATGATTAGTCTGTTCTCGTACTGCAAAAATCTACTAGTTTTTACTATTTTGTTCAATATCATAAAGGAAAAATGTGTTGTGGTAGTAAAAAATAGTAGATTCTTGCCATACGGGAACAGACCAGATATCGAACAAAAATAGTAAAAATTGGTATTAGAATCTTGTAGTACGCTAGCAGACCATTTATAAAAATACGCATAGTAGATTCCTACTGGAAATACAATGGTTAAATTATTACAAGGTAAGATATAGCTACCATGGTACAATTAAAGCGGGTTTACATATACAGTAGTTTTCGCTTATAGTCCACAAGTATAGTTGCACAATATTTGTGGACTATAAGCGAATTAGGACTATATCCGAATTTCTTTTTAAGGCCTTTAATGGACTATAACTGAGTCCTGATATAATGCTTTTGGAGGATTAAATGAAAAACGTCAACAGTGTATTCCTCATCATGAATATTGTTATGACATTCTTCAACAGATTTGTCCGAAAACACATTGTCCAAAATATATCCAACATTTAACATTCCATAGCAAATCAGTTCTCCATCACCGCATTCTAGCCACGCATTTCATTAAACCGCATATTTTTAGTTACTTTCTTCATAGATTACACAAATTTGAAGCTTTTTTTTAATTAAGAGCTAATTTTTATTATTTTATGAACTGTTTGTCTACTTTTGGTCTGTTCCCGTTCTGCAAGAATCTACTACTGTTTACTACGATAACGAATTTTCCTTTATGCTATCGAAGAAAATAGTAAAATCTAGTAGATTCTTGCAGTATGGGAACAGATTCTTGCAGTATGGGAAATTATTGCAGTCTTTAAATAATTTCAATTTTTTCTCCATATTACCATTTGCGCAACTTCTATGAATTTAGAAATTTTTGACATTTGCAACTATTGCAAGAAATATAAAGGCTTCTATCACCTAAAAAAGGCATTTTAACTTTCTATCGCCTAAAAATGCATTTTAAGGCCTTTAACGGCTTCCATCGCCTAAAAATGGCAGTTTAGTTTTCTGTGGTCTAAAATGGCATTTTAAGACCTTTAAAGGCTTCTATCTCCTAAAAAAGGCATTTAAAGGCTCTTAAAGGCATCTATCGCCTAAAAAAGCATTTTAAGGTCTTTAACGGCTTCTATCGCCTAAAAAAGGCATTTTAGTTTTCTGTGGTCTAAAAAGGCATTTAAAGACTTCTATCGCCTAATAAGGCATTTTAAGGCCTTTAAAGGCTTCATTCGCCTAAAAAAGGCATTTTAAGGCCTTTAAAGGCTTCTATCGCCTAAAAAAGGCATTTTAATTTACTATCGCCTAAAAAACGCATTTTAAGGCCTTTAAAGGCTTCTATCGCCTAAAACAGACATTTAAAGGCCTTTAAAGGCTTCCATCGCCTAAAAAAGGCATTTTACTAAATTTAGAGGCTTGTATCGCCTAAAAAAGGGCTTATTGAGGGCTTTAAAGGCTTCTATCGCCTAAAAAGGGATTTTAGTTTTCTGTGGTCCAAAAAGGCATATCTAAAAAATGTTTGAAATATGACAATGACGCTTTGATATACGTTTCTCTAATTAGTAAACACAAATATCTAACATGGTTTTTAGTACATAATTGTAGCTTTGAGAATTTAGTTAAGCTCTTATTACAATTAATTTGAAAAGCTTTTTAGCACAAGAGTCAAACAATTAGTTTTTCTTAAATATAAAGAAGATATATAGTTCTTTATTTCCCACAATAAAAAAGCACGGTAATCTGTAATTACAATTGGTGAGTTTTAATTTTTTTTATTTTTTAAGCCGAAAATAAAATAATACAAAGTCGGCTAATGTGGATCACTATAAAAACGGGGCTTTTTCATGGGGATTTGTTCGAAACATGGACCCATATTAGAAACAATTCTACGGGGAGGTATTCTATCCTCTTAAAACTCGATATGCGAAATTACAGTCGCTTCGGTTGGATAATGAAACTAAAACCTTCAAAATACCGCCAAAGGGGCGGTACCAAAACACGAACCCATATATTTTTGCATTCATTGTTACCCAAGATTGCAATAAATTGAAATTTATCACAAACAATCCACATGCTGCCCTTGTTGTGTAGAGTATCATATGGTCGGCCCGTTCGACTACACCTTTTTCAAATGTTATTCAAAACATTTCAATTTCAATTCGAGAATTTCATTTGTAATTTGAAAACTCAATTTGCAATTCATAACATTTCACTTGTAATTCGAGTATGTAATTTGTAATTCACAACATTTCATTTGTAATTTTAAACATTTCGTATGAAATTCAAAAAATTACATTTGAAATTTAAAAAATTTCATTCGTAATTCGAATATTTCAATTTTAATTTCGTAGAGTTTCATTTGATATTCAAAGAAATCCATTTGAAATTCAAATAATCCAATTTGAAATTCATAACATTTCACTTGTAATTCATAAAATTTCAGGTGTAATTCATAACAATTCATTTCAAATTCATATATATTCCTTTTGTGTTACCAATAATATTTTTCGAATTTAAAATTAAATGTTATGAAAAACAAATGGAATGTTATGTATTTTAAATCAAATGTTAAGAATTTCAAATGGAATTATTTAAATTTCAAATTGAATTTTATTAATTTCAAGTGGAATTTTATGAATTTCAAACGCAAATACTTGGAATTTCAAATGGAAATTATGAATTTCAAATGGAATTCTATGATCTTCGAAAGGTATTCTAGGAATTACAAATGAAATTCTCGAATTACAGCTGATATGTTGTGAATTGCAAATGGAATTCTCGAATTGCAAATTTTATGTTGTGAATTACAAATGGAATTCACAAATTACATTCGATATGTTTTGTATAACATGTGAAAAAGGTGTAGACTGCTTATTTGTTTTGGCTTATCATTGTTCTACAACAGTTGTTTATTGTAATTGCTTGTTAATGTACCCGCCTTAGTAAAAGTTACCTGTACAATTTGTATAACGTAAATACTAATGTAAAATCTAATATACACAGATAGGACGGGTTAACCTACTATATGAGAACTTATTTGAAATGTTTACAAAGGAATTGACAATTGAAATCCGGTACAAGGTATACGTACAATAAATATTGGATTAACGATGTAAACGTACTATAAGTTGCTATAACATACCTTATATTACGTACAATGTGTTTTACAACTTTCAATACAACAGTAAAAATGTTGCATTGGTTTGAAAACCTAAAACGGCATTTACATTACAACTTTTTACCGGGTTAACCTAATTTATGATGATTTTTTGACTTATATTCAAAGGAATTAAAAATTTAACCCACTGGGTCAACGAAATACATTACAATGTAACCGCACTATAACATTGCTCGTTCTGTTATTACGATATCATAAAAACACACAGTGGGCGATTGGGCCTCGCTAGCGGCATTTAATTCAAATTTTCAAATTTGTTAAAGCGTTAATTTTTTGCACAAATCGATAACAGATGCTTTGATGAGATTTTTGGCGTTTTTTATAAGCTCTACGATCAGCTGATCATCAGCTGTGAGCTGTCAACACACAAAATATGTTTTAGCAAGTGCTTTACAATATTTTTTCTTTGTTGTGCGCATTGATTTCGAGCTCCTTGGGAATTTACAATTTGTACTTGTTTTATTAAAAGTGTGATTTTTTATTAACTTCAAGGTAAGTATTACATATAAAATCAGTGTTTGTGACCGGTCTATAAATGTGTTGTTAATTTTTAGCGTGGAAGTAAAGCTGCGAAATGTTACTAGTAAGCTTGTAGAAAAGTGGAAAAACTGTTGCAGAAATAAGTTTTTTTATAAACAAAAACCAGGAATAGCTAGATACGACGTTAGTATTGATTGATTGATCATCTTCCGAAGTTATGGGACGTCCACAATGAGATTTTTAGGAGTATTGCAAAATAACGTAAGTTAAGAAATTGGCAGGCTTTACTGCAGCTTGTATGAAGGTGGAAAACGTAGTGCTTCACAGGTGGTCTCAATGCTAAACGCCGACAAAGAGTTTCGCGGTAAGATTTTGAAAACTATGAGTACCGCTCAGCGTCTACCGACAAAATTCTCTGATGAAAAATCACTGGCGCTATTTGTAGATGTTGGACATACCAAGTACACATAGAATTTGTCAAAGAGAGTCGCTAAAGGGCACAACGCCGATATATATCCATGCTACGACAAACTGTGTTGTGCGCAAAAATACTATCCTAGTTTCATCACGGTCGCTGATCATTTCGCTGAAGTACCATTACAAAGCTTAGTGGACCATACGATTGTTAGGATTATTGAAGCACACCCAGAAAGTTTTCAAAAAATAATAATAACACCCAATTAACTGCTACCTACAAATGGGGTTGTGATGGCAACAGCGGCCATTCTACTTACAGGCAAAAATTTAATGACTTCGATGGAGACATGATAGACCAATATTTATTTTCAATTAGTATGATACCATTGATAGTGCAGAAAGGGCCGACAGTTTTATAGAAAAACAATCGGCACACTTATCTCGCAGAGAAATTCAAAACATTAATAGCCAAATATTAAATATTTTTCTAACATTTGTGAGTAACTTACGAATTGACCACAAAATTCATATGACCATGCTTGATGGCAAAACGTTCAGTGTCATATCGGAATCGGCTTCACAAACATGTTGAATCAGTAGCGTGACTCCCAAAAATATGAACGATCTAAATTTGGTGAAAAGCTTTCCTATTAAGGGAAACCTATTTGAATATGGCTTATCAAGTCTCTGTTTTGCCCATGGCATATAGAATAGCAATACAAAAGTGGCAAGCTCGTGGTGCTGAAAAGGATGTCGTTGAACAAAATAAAAGAAATATTCAGCAGAAGCTAAGGGAAGAAATGCATTTGTTGGTGGATATACCAATGGCTGGTACTGACAGCACTAACAACGAAAACACTGCAAGGAGGTTTTTCCAACAACCAAATTTGGCTGCTCGTACAACAGGAGTAAGCTATGATTTAATATATCGATTTAGCCTAGTCTTGAGAGCATTGGCTTGTGGATACGACATAAATTCGGACGCATTCGGATCTTACGCATTGGAAACTGCCAAAATTTTTGTTAAAGCATATTCCTGGTTTTACATGCCATCGTCTGCTCGCAGAATTTTAATTCTTGGAGCAGATATAATAAACCATTTTTCCCTTCCGAAAAAGCTCTTGAAGCTAGGAACAAGGACTATCGAAACATACGGGAGAGCAATACAAGAATGCTTTATTAGTTTCGTCGGACCCTTTGATATCTTCTTTTTTTCTGAGCGGCTGAAGATATCGTTTTTCGTTTAGAAGTTATTAATTAAATGCCGCTAACGGGGCCCGATCGCCCACTGTGCATAATGGCAAAATGTATATATTTAAGATTTTATTATTGGTTTTAGTCTCTAGTGAGAAATACAAGCAATATAAAATGTTAACTACAAGCGCCATCTGTGTTTTAAAACATATACCATAACCTTTTTTGAGCCTATGTACCTTTGAGATATGGTGTACCATACGACAATCACTAATTTGAATTATGTCTTGGGTAAGTATTGCCACATAGAATTGAAAAGTATAGAAGTACTAATAGCCTTGCCAGCGTCAATGTATTTAGGTTTATGTCTAGATTAGATTGTTCGATTCATAACGTTTAACCAGTAAGGAAAGTAGTAAATTCGGACGGGGCCGACTATATGATACCCTTCACCAATATGGGTATATTAAACAGAACTATTAACATGAAATTGGATGAAATAAAATATGTGATATTTATCTAAATGTGAATCTACCTAGATCTATCCACAAAGTATGTAAATCGACTTCAAACAAATATAAAAAGGTCATCCGTTGGACTATGTCTGTACTTCTATAAAACGCAACTACGTAATTCTATGCTCAATTTTGTAAGTTGTGCATAATTTGATGTCAATCTGACTAACTGAGGAGTTTGATGCCCAATTTACTTGAAATCGGGCGAAAATATATATGGAAGCTCTGTCCAAATATTAAGCGATTTCAAACAAACTTGTCACAGGTTAGGTTATACTAATTTTAGAACGTTTTGTTCCTATCAGCCTATTGGTTCCTCGGTGCGTCAATTACTTGAAATCAATCTATAATAAAAGGGAGCTATATCTAAATCTGGACCGATTTTCACGAAACAAGGCAGACATCACTCAAGGCTCAATTCAGTACGTTATGTCAAATTTCGTGCAAATCGAAAGATATATAGCGACTTTGGTCCACCATTTACAAGAAATCGGACGAAACTATATTTGGGAGCTATATAGAAATCTGGACCGATTTTCTAGAAACTTGACAGACATCACTCTAGGCTCAATTCAGTACGTTATGCCAAATTTCGTGCACATCGAAGGATATATAGGGACTTTGGTGCATCATTTGTATGAAATCGGACGAAACTATATATGGGAGCTATATCTAAATCAGGACCGATTTTCGCGAAACTTGGCAGACATCATTCTAGGCTCAATTCAGTATGTAATGCCAAATTTGGTGCGAATCGAAAGATATATAGGGACTTTGGTGCACCATTTACATGAAATCGGACGAAACTATATTTGGGAGCTATATAGAAATCTGGACCGATTTTCTAGAAACTTGGCAGACATCACTCTAGGCTCAATTCAGTACGTGGAGCGATTTTCACGAAACTTGGCAGACATCATTCTAGACCTAAATGATTAGGCTGTACCAAATTTCGTGCAAATCGAAAGATATATAGGGACCGTTTACATGAAATCGGTTAAATATATATATATATATATATATATATATGGGAGCTATATCTAAATCTGAACCGATTTTTCCCAATTTCAATAGGGTTCGTCCTTGGGCCTAATAAGTGACCTATGCCAAATTTCATCCAATTCGGATCATAAATGCGACCTGTACTTTGTTTACAATTTAACATCGACAGACCGACGGACGGACGGACATGCATAAATCGACTTAGAAAGTGATTCTATGCATATTCTCAAAAGGAACCATGTGTCTATCTCGTTTCCTTTTGCCTGTTACAAACATATGCACAAAGACATAATACCCTGTACCACAGTGTGGTGAAGGGTATAAAAATAACATTAGGGCGCATTTACACCGAACATGTCTCAGAATGAGTCGTCGTTTTCAAATTTCCGTTCATACATTTGCCAATATTTTACCAGTTCCAGCACCTGTAAGAATCTTTAATTAACCCTTTGAGCCCCGAATTTTTTCCGTTATCATAGAACAATTTTCTGTTCACAGATTTTATGCAACTATTCTAGATAGGATATGGACAAATTTTGACATCGCTACATCCTTGCATTCGGGAAATACAGTACATTCTTTCTGAAAAATAAAAGCCCAATATCAAGAAACCCAAATGCAAAATCGACGAAAAAATTATTTTAAGTTATTCTCTATTTTCTGTTTTACAAGAATCAAAAATAATTCTGACGGCAGAGTTCGTATATTTCAAATAATAAGCGATTTAAATAATTTGGACTGTATACACAAATTAGTACTGTACATATTTTTGCCCTCCTCTCCATATTAAAAAGCTCATAACTTTGCCAAAAATTTGAATTTTTTACATTTTTCTTGTGATATGTGTCGTCCATAAACAGGCCTTGTCGTATGCAATCCAAAGAATATATATCTACTAGCAGTATATTAAATATTAGCTCTAAAACATTTTGTTGCCTGTGGGCAACATTGGGCCACAAAGGGTTAATCGAAATTGTTTTCGATTTTGCCTATATAAATTTGAAAAGGTTTGCCAGTTTTTCCATGATAAATCTTTTTGACACAAGAAAATAAAAGATTTAAAACTTAATTTTTTTATTTAACTTTGTTTTTATTATATAATCTTTTGTTTGTTTTAAATATACTCTTTCATTGCCAACATTATTCGTAGTTTTATTAAACACATTTTCTTTTGCATATTTTCAAAATCTTAATATTACAAATAAATAATAATTTTAATTTTTTTCTAAACATTATTTTGTTTTTCGTTTTTTTTTGTTTCAATGAATCAAAGTGCACTTGGGTGTGGGATTTTCTTGTTTGTTATTGTTGTTGTTCGTCTTCTTCTTGTTCTCTGTTTCATTTCATTAAACTACGAAAATGGATTACTAGATAAAATGTGGTTTCTTCTTCTTAATTATGATTTTTTATTTACTAAAATGGACGACAAGTTGTAGATAGAGAGGATAATCCTTATCAGATGATGGAGGAGGGATTCAAATATATATATAGATGTAGTCCAAAAATCGGAACAAATGAAATATGTAATGTATAAAAAATGGCTGAGTTATCTGTAGGTATTTTTCTGTTGTTGTTGTTGTCAAAGATAAGATAAAGTCCACCAGTGGCTTATAGTCTGTAGAGTAGGGGGCAGGGGGGAAAAGGACGTTTAAAGGGGGGAAAGGAGGAGGAGGGAGGAAGGAAACAAATACAGATAGTAGATATAGGAGAGAGAGTTTTGGAAAACTAAGAATTGACGAATTGAAACAAAAGGAAGACCAAAAAAACGATGTCGGGAAGATTTCCATATTTTCTACTACTTTCGTTTTGGAAGTTCGATCAATTGGAAAATATTTTTTTTGTATTATACTAATAGATTTTATTTTTTTAAATTTTTGTTTCTTCTACTTTTTTTGTAAAAAGCCATGGTAAAAATAAAATGCAAAAAATGTCTATATCTTGTTTGTATGTGTGTTTGTTTATTGGTGTGGAAGGAAGGATTTGGATAATGCCTATTAAGGGCAAACTACTCCCATTACTGGTATTCCAAAGAATCGCTATCCAACACGGTGGAGGATTGTTTGGAGGTTCGACGACGCCAGTAATCCGAGTAGCGGGCCTCATACTGTGCAGTTGTACGCCACGGTGGCCATTTCAGCTATTCCTCTACCAAATCCCAAACCATCAACGAGGCATCAGTGCCGCCGACAGTAACCAAAGTTTGATCGCCAAATAGGAAGCGTACACAGGCCACCATGCCTGAGTATACTTTGGCTTCGTGAAATTCGGCCCTGGGGCTTATGCAGGGATATCTGCAATCAACAACAAAACAATTAATAAATAAAATATCCATCATCAGCTGGTGACGGAGACATACCTAAACAAACGTATATAACCATCTGCATCACCGGAGGCCAACATATCCTGGGCCGTGGATCGTGTACAGGTAGATATAATTGTATTATTATTACTATAGTAGCGATTACTCCACATGCCTGCCACCAAAAATCCAACCGTACAATTGCTGGTCAACCATTTGACATCTTTCATGGCAATGGGGCTACGTTCGGGACTCAGGGATTTCACATCCCAGAACAGCAAATCAAAATCAATTGTCACCGTTTGCACAAAATTACCATCCATACTCCAATCCAAATGGGTCAGCGGTTGAGAGCCACGGATTTTATTCACTTTCTTGTAGGAGAAACCATCTCGGGAGACGCGGAATAAATAAATGCTGCCATTCTGAGAACCCATTGCAATCATATCGCCCACTGAAACGAATGAAGAAGAAAACATGTTATTTCACACATGAAACGTTGGGCGCCAATTTGTGTTCTCTCACCTTGATTAAATGCCACACAATTTATGGGCGAACCACACACCCTCAGTGTCAACATAACCGCTCCATTTTCACAATTAATAACCAATAGATGACCCTCAGTGCTGCCAGCAGCCAGGGCGGTACCAAACGGATGGAACGCCAACGAAACACATTCATAGCCCGTTTGTATGGTCCAAATAAGTTTACTTTTACGCCACAAAGCAATGTGTTTGTCATGACCTGCCGTGGCGAACAGATCATCCTCGGGATGGGCGGCCAAGCCCCATAATTGGCGGCCATGACCAAAAACAACTTGGGTAAAACGTCGTTGCAAGGAACCTTCCAAAATATTGTTGCGTGTGGTACCCACATAGATGTTGCCATCATTGCGTCCTGGACGTTGGGGATAAATTGTGCGTACACCGCCAGCAGATTCAGGAAGCTAACGACAAAAGAAATCCAATAAATCCCTTTATAAATTAAAATCCCTCCCTCCCACTCACCTTAGTATCGGCAATTTTCTTATAATTTTGCAATGAATCCCAGGCGGCAATCTTACGATCCTTCTCGCCGCCCGATAGCAGAGTACCCTCACCCAACATTATCAGACAACCAATACCCTTTGTGTGTGCCTCGAATTCAGTGCGAACAAAATAGGCACCATCGGAGTCAACCGAATATATGGTAATAAAACCATCTGAATCGGCGGTTATAACATCACCATCCGGTTCAAATTGTACACTGGTAACATGTGAACGTGACGGTTGCTTTACAATATCTGTTCGCTCGAAAAAGCCATCTTTGCGACGATGCCAAAAAGCCAAATGTCCGCGACCATGTGTTATAATTAAATTATCGTCTAGAGGATGGAAGGCGGCACCCGATAAACCTTCTTGTAAAGTCTGAAAAAAAAGGTATTTTAAGTCGAAAATAATTCGTGATATATCCTTCGAGAATACTTACGGCAACTTTACCCAACAAATGTCCCCATTGCCACTGCCACACGGAGAGTATACTTTCACGCCCGCTATCCACCGCCAAAATGTAGCTACCTCCATTCTAAAATAAATTATAATTGTATTAAATAAAGGGGCATCCTTTTAGTTTACCGAAGGATATTAGGCCAGACTTACCAATTGCGAGAATGCCACCGCAGTTACCCCCGTATCTAATTCACCCATACCAAAAACATATAACGTCTGCAAGGACTCAGTGCTCCAAATGCGTACATGTGCCTGAGATTTGCGATCACGTCCAGCTTTTTGTCCCGATGCCACAAGTTCTCGTGAAGGATGTACGTCCATACTAAAAAATAAGGAGAAGATTAAAAAAAATAATAAATGTATAAGAGTCTCTTGTGAAAAAGAAAGGTAATATAGTTAAAAATTGGGCCAACTATTTTATTAAAAAAAACCTTTCAAGTATCTTTCCTTTGCAAAATTAAAGGCCTCTTCAAATGATCTATCCATCGATCTTCATAACAGTTCTTCGCTTTTACTCTTCTTGGGAGCATAGGTCTTCCATAAACCAGCGCCATATTACTGGGTTAGATGCCATTGTCTTTGCATAATATAATTCTTAGGTATATTATAACGAGTGGTTCTAACTAAGGCTAAAGTAAGCTCAGTCGCTGCCAGGGTCACCCTAAGGACCCACAAAAACACGAGAAATTACAATTTCAATCTTCATTATAATACACCGGTTTTTACAATATGGATGACAGTTTGGATATGAGGCAAGATTTTATGTGTATAGAGATCGGATCGTTGATAGCCGGCTGGTTAAGTCGGCTCGGCTCGTTGGTGATCGGCTGGCTATAGTCGCCTCGATGCTTTCTGCTAGCTGATGTCGGCTGATTGGTGATCGGCTGGATCGGGTTCGATTAGTAGTTAATGGTTATTAGTGAAGAGCTGGTTAAGAGCCCGCGCTGGTTATGAGCAAGGAGCTGGCGAAGAGCCAGGACGAAACGTTAACATTTGCGAGTAAAAGAGACTGCGGACGAGCCACGCATCTTCGTCACTCTTAGTTCATTAAAGTCCAAGATTGACCCGTTCGGCATGGAAAAGTAGGACATATATCCGTATGGTACTACGAAGTGAATGAGAATAATTGTGTTCTTCAAGAAAAGTGTCTGTCGATAAATTCATTGAAGTTGAAGAACACAGGTAATGATGCCGGCCTAAATTTACTGTGAGACGTTACTTACTACTAAATATTGAGGAGGAGGGTTGACATTAACTTGGGTATTGCATAATTTATGAAGCGGTCACGTTACAATTTGTTTATGAATTCGTTTAGCTTATGCATGATGATGTGAAAAACAAACCACTGCCGGGTAGCAAAATCGATTTTATACATGCTTTGAAAATTCTAAGCTTGCTTTTAATGGATATATGTGAGCTTCACCATTTACCTTACAATCGTCCGAATGCTGCTCTCGCTTTATATGGACCATTACGTCTATTTATATAGCAACATTTGTTGTTACAGTGCTGCCTAGATAGCAGAAGTATCCAATTTCTTCGCTTTATAGTAATATGATTTCTGTACTGGTGTTGTTAATTTCCATGGTAGTAGATTTTCTGGTATTAGTCTCATGTCCAACATTGCGAACCAGTCTCTCCAGGTCATCTAATTTTAACTGAAAATCGAATTTATTGCGTAATGCATCTACTCTGAGACCAGACTTCATTAATTACTTCAAACAGTACAAGGCATCTTTGGTTTAACCCGTGTTGGTGTGAGATGGTTGCCTTATGTTCTCGATGTGAAGAACTGATATTTCAGAATCCTCGTACATCGCTCCTATTATTGGGATTATTTTCTGGGTTTTTTGCTTCTTTTCTTCCTCCCAAGCTGATATGATGTGAGGTCGAAGTAACTCATCTGTGGTTATGTCGTCGTCTTTTGGAGTTTCCGCCAGTTAACCAACTTCTCCTGCTGTTTTCTGACTTTGTAGTTGGTATATTGTCTCTATTATTTCGTTCAATCTATATATGATATTTTCACATTTCATTATTTTCAGTGGCGTATCTGACGTTACTGACTTCTTCGATATGTTCTTTCCATCTTTGAATTAGTTCATTATTGTTTCTTAGTAGTCTGTCATTACGGTATACCTTTTATATTTGAGAATATTCATTATTCGATGTTGCTTTCTCATGTGGTTCGAGTTTGCTGCGTCTTCGGCTGTTTTGTCCAATTTCCTACGAACTTATTTTTGTCTTTTCTTGCAGGGTTCTTCACTTGTTTTGCTAGCGTACAACGCAAGCGCTATGGAATTGATAGCTGAAATCGGGTGGATCGTGTAGCATTGTGATCAGGTTGTGAAATGATTCCAATTCACTTATGTTTGCAGATATAGTTATTTTCAACCACTAAGTCGGTCATGAATCGCTCCGTGTTTCTCCAAGCTCTGAACTGAGGACTTTATATATGTCATACCACACGATCTTGATGGTCAACCAACAGTCTCAAAGCGTAAAAGTATCTGTACTCTCAATAAACCCGTTGACTAATGCGATGTGTGGATGGTTAGTCTTGTTGAAAGCAAATGTTGCTGAGGAAAGAAGCTTCAATTTCAGGCAACAAATGGTTGATTTTTGAAAAAATATGGACCGATGATACCACCGGCTCTCAAACACCCCAAACCAGTATTTGTCCGGGATGCAACTTTTACATATCTTTAGTTTGTTCGTCGTCTAAAATACGCAAACATTTCCAACTCAACTATATTCCCAAGCAACTTTGGTGAACAACTTTTATGATTGTCATCAAATGTGGCGCCCAAAATATACGCGTACACAGAGTCTTTGGTGTAATGTTCCCGTACAAAGACTTCGGTCGACGATATCAGACAGAGGTGCTTCGTCACCTATTCCTAACAAGCTTCAGTTCTTAGATAGGAACCAGATCGTATGACAGTAAGCATGAAACTCCGATCATGAGTTGTGGTATCTGATCTTGGGGTTTTCTGGACATCAGCTAATTTATCAAATCACCGCTCCTTAATGTCAATGAGCAATGTCTCTTGCATATCTCACTGGCACGTTGTATGATCTATCAATTCCACGTTTAGGAATTTACCTGATTTGTGAGAGCTCGCATTGATGATTCGTCTTCTCTTGACAGTCCTATCTTGCTCAAGTGGAATAATTGCCACATTATCAATTTTGCCAAAAACAGAAAAAACTTTGGTTCATTTTCGAATACCCAATTACAGTTTTGTTTTGAGCACATACGAGGTGATCTGTTTTTCATCACACGTGATGATCAATAACATCTTTTGAAGCTACATTTCCTCGTACCAATTGACTCGAAAATTGGCGCATCGTGAAATTTTACGGTTTTGATTTAATTCGAACCTACACTAATTCAAGAATGTACCTATAAATTTTCAAGTGCAAATCTCAACAATTTTTGAAGATATTATTTTTTAACTTAGTTTGTGGTCAAAAAGGTTACGCCATTTTTTTATTTGTTGTGCGAAGTCAATAATCCTAGTTCACAAGAGAGCCAGTCATGGCCTTAAACGGCCAAATGTTCATGAAATGTCGAATATGTGCAAGTGGAAAAAATGCCCATGTATGCCTATATCGCATGGTATACCGATATTGTATTAACAGTAGACGCACAGCATCAATGTTCTGTTGGACACCTGTCTAATGAATTTATTAAACCGGGTTTTCATAGTGCTATAGGATGGTGCTTCATCACCATATAACGATTTCAGTTCATCGTCGAAAATTGTGACAAATTATCGCACGAAGATGTTACACCTTTTTGATTGATCAATGTTGCTCTAGTTCACCCAGTTCCTTTTGATCCTACTTTTCATTGACTGATTGAACTCAAAGGAACTACGGAACTAAATAACTGATCTATTTCTTTTACAGAGTGAACCGCCCTAGGAACGAAAATACCAACTCTAAACTCTAAGATCTAAGTCTTACGACTTATTATCCCCATATTTATGTAATAGAGTTAGGTCGTACCGAAACGAACAAATTGAAAGGAACTATTTGCTAAAGGAACGATCGTTCATCTAGTTCCTACCGATCCAGCCATTAATTTTTGCTCAAGTTCGCTTAGTTCCATTTAATTCAGGTCGTTCATCTAGATCTTTCCGTTCATTAATCAAATTAACTTACGACATTGTAGAAAGTATTAAACAAAAAGGAACTATGGAAATAAATTTCTGACCTAGTTCTTTTACAGAGTGGACCGCTAAATTCTAATACCATATTTTAACGACTTATTATCCCAATATGAATATAATAGAGTTAGGTCGTACCGAAACGAACTAATTGAAAGGAACTATTCCGCTAAAGGGACGAACGTTCATCTAGTTTCTACTGATCCAGCTCAAGTACGCCTTGTTCATTCATTGACAACTATGGAACTAAATTACTGACCATGTTATTTTATAGAGTGAACTGTTTCAGGAATTAAAATCCCAACTTTATATTCTATGATATAATTCATACAACTTATTATCCCGATGTTTATATTGATGATAAAAACTAATACATACCACATAATATCTTCTGTATGTCCGGTGTAATGACGCTGAGCATCTTCTTCACGATCCAATAATACGGCGACTGCAGCAACATAATATAAAAGTTCACCGGATGGTAAGACCCAAAGATTGCGTCTGGCATCAATGCCGCGATAGCCATGGCTAAAAGAAGGAAAATTGTTTTGTAATATCACAAATACGTATAACCGCCATATATTTTGGTTTACGACTTTTAAAGTTCCATAGCCACAGAATTTGAAAGTCTAATTACTAATTTGCACAAAAATTACTATTTAAAAATTTCGTTGAAGGGCCACAGAACGTTAAAACTTCGATAAACGACATATTACAGCATGTGAAACCTGCCGAAAAATAATAACATTTTTCGCCTCGGCATACTTACACCCATTGTAATTGCAATTTCTTATCTGGTGGTGTATTATCGGCCGGTGCATGATGTAGTGGTGGATAAAATGTGCGTCGAAGTCCCCTAATTGTGACCTTCGTTGGATCTTCTTTCATCATATCGATCATACTGTATTCCCCATTTGTGCGTAAAATTTCACTTTCCGGTGCATATAAAATACGTGGACGACTTTTACTGCGTGGTCGTGCACCACGTAAAGGAACCTTTGGAAGATCTTCGGTTGGAAGTATGGGAGCGGCAGCCATTACCGAAGGTCGTGAACGTGAACGACGTATGGGTGAGCCGGCAATTAACGCTGTACCAGTGGCCAAATAGAACGTGTCCACATCGGCAAATTCATTGCGTAGCTGTGAAAAACTGCGTACCTAGGGGAGGGAGAGGGGAAAATAATCCATTAACTGTTGGTTACAAACACTTCCCAATCAATATTACTTCTCTCTACATACCTCTTGTCCTGTGCCCGTGTACATTTTCTTAGCTCCATTAATTTTCAGCACTTGACCCAAATCTTCCAGCACTTCTTCGAATGGCTGTGAAGTGCGTAGATTGAGTAAGACACGACACTGCAATGACAAACAGGAAAATGTGATGGAACAAATATTAGCTTTGATAATAACAAAATGAAATAGCAGCAATCTGACAAGAAGTGTGTGAAAATCACGTTCGACAAATATGACAAAAGTTTGTATATTGATTTCACAGAGTTCTTGACAGGTTATTAATATGTAGATGGTAGTGTGATGATGGTGTGTGGAATAGTAAGAAGACCATTAATACAAAGATGGTTGAATTTGACTGGAAATTGAAATGTCCAACATAAGATCTTCCAAATAAAATTATAGAATGAACCCAAATTTATACAAAGAAACACGTAAATTGAATTAAAAACATTTTAAAGTCATAGTCATTTAAAGATTTTAAAGAATTGAAACCTTAAGGTTTCAATTTTAGGAATCATTTTTTTAAGAATTCTCTTAGCGTGGATTTTTAGGATGCACATTTCCAGATTGCTTAAGGAAGGCATTTTTCAGTGATCTTCAAGCGTGAATTACTGTTTAGAAAGGAACTAGTTCCCTATTGTAGTCTATTTGCACCATATAAATTATTTTGAATCTCGGTCTTTCATACCCCTTCCTTTATATATACCCTTCACCACACTGTGGTACAGGGTATTATGTCTGAGTCGATTTACGCATGTCCGTCCATGATAAGGGATAAGGGAGTTAAACGTAAATATTTAAAGTTGTTTATGTGTAATAATATTGCTTGGTATTAATATTACCCCACTAGGAGGCCGAAATGTCGCCCTGATCGCTTTGATATTGTACATGGAGTTCCGGTTATGGTCAAGGACGACATCTATGAATTTCGATTATGTTATGCATGAAGGGAACACTTTATTTTTGTCATATATTCTAGTCGCTGTTTAGATGATGATCCGCCAATATTCCGAGGGTCAAATCAACCAAAATCTAAAGTGACAGCTTTTGACCTCTAAGAGGGTGCAAATATCGCGATATATTGTCCAAGAACAGAATATAGAATCTCAGAAAGTTAAATTTTCGTAGTAGTTCTGTAGGGTATAATATGTTCGACACCATCCGACTAAACTTCTCCGCTCACTGGTTTAAAATATGTTTATCCGAGAGCAAAAATGTTCCCTATCGAAAAATCGAATTTGACCCCAAGTTTCTTTGTACCAAATTTGAAGTCCGTCTGTTTGGCTGGTGCACACAATAACTCTCGAAGGGAGTAACCGATTTCATACATCGTCATATTTCTTCTAAACTTATATCAAGATGGGGAATATCGGTGTACTTCTTCACAAAACGTAAAATATTATGCTAGAATAAAGAACAAGTTGGAGGAGGATTAAAAATTGCAAATCTAATATCAAGCGAATGGAGTATCCGCTTTGATCCAGACATTGCATATTGTAATATTTTGAGCAAACCTAGGTCAACTTGGAGGATAAAACGGCATGTACATGACAAATTTTTCCCGGGTTAACTTAATTTATGAGGATTTATTTGGCATATATCCAATGGTATGGACAATTTAAACCCACTGGGTTAACGAATCCAGTACAGTGTAAATGAACTATAAGTTCCACCGGCTAACACTTCTTGATATCTTTCGGCAATATTTGTTTACTTGTTTTGTCGTAATTTTTGTTCACTATTTCCCAAAAATGTGTCACCCAGTTTCGGGAGAAATCCCCAATAACTGGCCTCAACGCAGTGTATTATAACCCACACACTGCGTTGAGGCCAGTTATTACGTTCCTCGAAACATTTATTGAAACTAATAAATTTCACACTTACAAATCTATTGAGCTGTAAATATGATGTATGACTCTACATACATTCACCACTATCCAATATCCTGGCCAAAAAATAAAGATTTATATCCAACATACAAAAAAAAATTGTTCGTTCAAAAAAACACGCAATTGGCAATTTCACGCCTTTGTTAACATCTATGCGATACGCAACGAGCCAAAACTAAAGTGAGAGAGTGAGAAAGTACAGGAAAAAATATTGGCAACAAAAAGCCAAACAAAACCAGTTAGGAAAGTAGTAAAGCCGGACGGGGCCGACTATATGATACCCTTCACCACTATGGGTAAAATAAACAGGACTATTAGCATGAAATTGGATGAAATAAAATATGTGATATTTATCTAAATGTGAATCTACCTAGATCTATCGATAAAGTATGTAAATCGACTTCAAACAAATATAAATAGGTCATCCGTTGGGCTATGTCTGTACTTCTAGAAAACACAACTATATAATTTTATGCTCAATATTGTACGATGTGCAAACTTTGATGTCAATCTGACTAACATGAGGAATTTGATGCCCAATTTACTTGAAATCGGGCGAAAATATATATGGAAGGTCTATCCAAATATTAAGCGATTTCAAACAAACTTGTCACAGGTTAGGTTATATTAATTTCAGAACGTTTTGTTCCTATTGGTTCCTTGGTGCGTCAATTACTTAAAATCAATCTATAATAAAAGGGAGCTATATCTATCTAAATCTGGACCAATTTTCACGAAACTTGGAAGACATCATTCTAGACCTAAATGATTAGGCTGTACCAAATTTCGTGCAAATCGAAAGTTATTTAGGGACTTTGGGGCACCATTTACATGAAATCGGACGAAACTATATATGGGAGCTATATAGAAATCTGGACCGATTTTCTCGAAACTTGGCAGACATCACTCTCGGCTTAATTCAATACGTTGTGCCAAATTTCGTGCTAATCGAAAGATATAGGGACTTTGGGGCACCATTTACATGAAATCGGACGAAACTATATATGGGAGCTATATCTAAATCTGGACCGATTTTCACGAAACTTGGCAGACATCATTCTAGACCTAAATGATTAGGCTGTGCCAAATTTCGTGCAAATCGAAAGATATATAGGGACCGTTTACATTAAATCGGTTAAAGATATATATGGGAGCTATATCTAAATCTGAACCGATTTTTCCCAATTTCAATAGGGTTCGTCATTGGGCCGAATAAGTGATCTGTGCCAAATTTCATCCAATTCGGATCATAAATGCGACTTGTACTTTGTTTACAATTTAACATGCACAGACAGACAGACGAACGGACGGACGGACATGCATAAATCGACTTAAAAAGTGATTCTATGCATATTCTCAAAAGGAACCATGTGTCTATCTCGTTTCCTTTTGCCTGTTACAAACATATGCACAAAGACATAATACCCTGTACCACAGTGTGGTGAAGGGTATAAAAAAAAACCTTTGTATAGACAAACCATGATTGTGGTAGCAATTACACGGCCAACAACTGGTCAAACACCCATTCAGTAAGCCATCCAAGTGCAGCTACTTTATTCGTAATGATAGCCTTGCGGGAGTCAGTAACAAAGTGAGTATCTCATTCGATAATGGTATGTAAGTGTACATGGGTGTAGATGGCTGTGAGAGTTGTTACAACAATTTCAACGAAAGCAATCAACAATTAGTGTAATGACTATAAGGGTTAGGTAGTTTCCAATACGTGTATGTACGTAAGTAGGTGTGTTAACGCTATAACGAACATTACCATTCAACACTTACACAATCCTGTATTCATTGGAAATTCCCCTTTGGAAAACAATTTGTAATTTTCTTTTTCATCGATAAATGCCAAATGCCTGCAAGTTGTGTTATATCCTAAAAGTATGCTTCATTTTCTAGTGATTGAACATTGTTAAGCCGTTTTTACACATTCAGAGTTTGTAACATAGACTTTAATATCAAAGCAAATGGATATCATTGGCATACAACCAAAATTGTTTAGAACGCGAGATTGCGATCATCATTATAACCTATATATCGTTAAAACGATGTCATTATAAACGATTTAGACTGTAACAGAACTTTTCTACAAAATGTGTGTTGGGTAGTGCTTGGTTTCCCCTTTATTGCGTCCTTGAAAGTCATTATGCTGGGTAGGAAGATTTTGTTCTTCTCCTCCATCCAAAACACGAAGTAACAAAGAAGTGTAAATCATGCATTACAACGGATGTTAAATAGTAAAAACTTGTATTTATGGATATGAATTTTGTCTGCCTGCTGCAAGCCTCTGTTTTGTTGTTGCTGTTTATATTTCATTATGAAATTCTTTGGTTATGTTTTTGGCAAGCTAACAATTTTTAGACAAAAATGTGTTCTTCTTTTCTCTAGTAAGTTTTTAAGCCAATTCCTTGCTCGTTTTTAAGTAGAATAATGATGATAAAGGGGAGTGTAAAAAAATTGCAGACTGGGATTTTAAATACTAAATAAATAGCAGATGTTACATTGTGGCAAGTTTGAATAATTTGTGGAAAAAAATATTTGTGCAGTTTGTAAATCTTGATGAAGAAGTAGAACCATTTTAATGATATTTATGGAGGATCTTGCGAAGTAAAATTTAAAAGTTTTTTTTAGAAATTGAAGAAAACTCCAGAAAGGTGTGATTTTTGTAGTGGTGGTTTTAAGGTGCCATCTGTTTAATGGTTATTCTTATCACGAATTATATGCTAATAGATGGGTGTTTGGAATTAGTGCACAATGCACAGAATAGTACCATAGGGGTGATTACTAAACACGTATTCTCCTTTTATACCCTTCACCACACTGTGGTACAGGGTATTATGTCTTTGTGCATATGTTTGTAACAGCAAAAGAAACCGAGAGAATATGCATAGAATCACTTTCTAAGTCGATTTATGCATGTCCGTCCGTCCGTCTGGCTGTCTGTCTATGTTAAATTGTAAACAAATTATAGGTCGCATTTATGATCCGAATTGGATGAAATGTGGCATAGGTCACTTATTCGGCCCAAGGACGAACCCTTTTGAAATTGGGAAAAATCGGTTCAGATTTAGATATATCTCCCATATATATATTTAACCGATTTAATGTAAACGGTCCCTATATATCTTTCGATTTGCACGAAATTTGGTACAGTCTAATCATTTAGGTCTAGAATGATGTCTGCCAATTGAGCCTAGAGTGATGTCTGCCAAGTTTCGAGAAAATCGGTCCAGATTTCGATATATATCTAATATATAGTTTCGTCCGATTTC